CGCAGCAGGAATGGCAAGGCCTTCAGCCATCAGGACCTCACTACATCTCCATCCCCCATCTAGTGGACTCACTAGCACCTTGGCAATGTTAAGGACCCAGCCAAGCTGGGGAAACACCACACACACGGGAGTCTGTTTGGAATTGGTGGTGCCCCCTTTGTCAACGATGAGATTGGGTTTCACCTTCCCTGACACCAGTATCCCTCAAGTCCTGCTTTGAGGCACTCATAGCAAAGTGGCTTAGGTCATGAGGAGGGAGCACTAAAGGGATGGGTGGCGTCTTCCAGAGGCACACAGTCCCACAGTGCATCTTACATGTTACACACAGGCAGGCTGGGACAGAAGACTGGGGTGCTGGGCTGCTAGGAGGGCTTGGCAGCATCCCTGCCACTCGGGACCACTCGGGAGATGGGTAGGTGGGAGGGGCACCCGTCCATTCACTCAAGCTTGGGGGAGCCAAGATGCCAGGACCCAGGTCCAGTGCCCACCTTCTCTGATGGTGTCCCTGTGCCTTCTAGACAAATTTCCCTGAGGGGAAAAACCAGACAGATGGAAGAAGTCAAAAAGAGGGCAGCAAACGGTATCAGACTGTGAGGGGCCAGCAGGCGGAAGGGAGATGTGAGAGCCAAAGACAAGCCTTCAGAAAGGGTAAGGCAAAGAGAGCTGCCACCTGTGGGGGGCAGGGCAGGGTGAGGAAGACAGGACAGACTCAAGACACAGCCAACCTGACCTCTCTGGGGGAAGCGAGGGCCCGAGGAGAGGGAGCTAGGAGCCTGCAGGGCCCTCCATGGGCCAGTGGTGGTTAAGACTGCACCAGCCACCCTGAGCACAGGGCTACAGGCTGATACTGCGCTGGTGGCGGCCGCTACGACCCCCACTCCGGGGACCCAGCTCCTGGCCATCCAGACTGGCGTGGTCCGAGAGGCCCCGCAGGTGCTCCACGGAGTCGCACTTCTGCAGGTCTGAAGCCACAGTGCGCAGGCTCAGCAGGCTCAGCGTGTCCGTGTCGGGGGCAGGGCCAGGCCCCAGGCTGACACCCTCCTCCAGCCCCCCACCCTCGGCCCCCTCGAGGATCCCGCTGTCCCCATCCTCGCCACCATCAGGCCCGGCCTCGGCCCCCACTGGGGAAGAGCGCAGCTGGCCCGGGGGGTGAGGGAGCTGGCCCCGGCGCCGCGCATGAATCTGCTCGCTGATCTGCTCCAGGTTACGCAGGGCGACTGAGTAGCGGGTCTTGGCCTGGGCTACCTGCTGCTCCAGCTCTGTCACCTTGGCCTTGTGCTCCTGCAGAGGGAGGGTCAGAGTCAGGTGACCCTCTGGGCAACTATCCGAGGCCCCTGGAGCTGCCAAGTCCTGTCAGGCCCATTCAGCATTCTGCGCTGGGGTCTCCCGTCCCAGGCCCTCGGCTCTGCTCACCACCAACCACTAATCTGCAGTGCTCCACCCAGCCCCTCTCCACTCCTCCTCCTCCTGGGGTCCTCCTTCCCCAGCAACCTTCCCTGCTCCTGCCTGACCTTCTGGGGCCTTCCTCCCAGGTCTTCATTCCCACCTGCTCTTCCCCCTCTCCCCATTGTTCCCTTTCCCTATCTGGCCGATTCCTTTGCCCCATTCTCCCCGGTCTCCCCCAATTCTCACCTTTTCTCCTTTACCTCCCTTCTCTGCCAGCACTCACTCCCTAACCCCACCTCCCACTCCTGCGGGGTCATTCTGAGCACATCTGTTCCACCGCACTGGCCTGGTGGATGGCCCAGAAAAGCAGATTGGTGTCCCCTCTACCTGCCCTCCCTTTCTATGCCTGCCCCCTCCCCCATCCTCCGTCCACTCACCCTCCCCCTCTCCCACTCAGCTACCTCCAGGATTTGGCTGAACTGGGCCTTGAGCTCGAAGTAGGGGCGGCTCTTGCCAATGGCCCGCCGGAGGGTCTTCTGCAGGGCCTGAACCCGAGCCTCAGCCTGCTGGCACAGCCGTGTCACCCGCTGGTGTTCCCGCTCACCACGAAGCCGCTCCTCCTCGGCCTCATTCACCTGGCCCAGGTGGGATGGAGGGCACACATCACTGAACTCGGTCCCACCCTCCTGCCCCTATAGCCTGCTCAGGCTGCCACTCCAAATGTTACCCTGGGGGAGATCCCCCACTGCAGAGCCTGGAGAGAGCACTGAGCTCCCAAGACACAAAAGAGAACAGTGAGTGCTTGCACCTGCCTATTGTTACCTGTACCAACCGCCTCTCAGGTTCGTTGCTACCAAGAGGTGCCGGAGCCCTCTGGACCACTTGTGAGCCTGTAGGGAATGTCCATCTGTGAGCACATCTGCCACAGCCATGGTCCTCAGAGAGCCCTCAGTGCTGGGGGCTAGGGCTGGGGGAAGGGAGGAGCCTCACTGTGGGGAGCCACAGCTCTGCATTGAGTTCTCCAGGTTTCTGTGCCTGAGCAGGTAGCAGGCAAGGGCTCCAGCCACCTCATCTACCAGGACCAAGGGGCTGACCCCGCCTACACACACAGTTTCAACAACCCCTCCCTCAGTATCATGCTCTCCTCTGTGTGAGTTCCAGAGTGGAAGTGGAGCTCCTGCTCTGCGTGAGGCCATGGGCCTGGACTAAGGAGCACACAAAGAACCTCAAGACATGACTATTCCTCAGGAGCTGACATGTACTGCTACAGACTAAATGTTTCTATCCCCCCAAAATTCTTACGTTGAAATCCTAACCCTGAAGGTGGGCCCTCTGAGAGATGATTAGGTCAAGAGGCGGGAGCTCTCACAAATGAAATTAGTGTCCTTATAAAAGAGGCCTTGGAGAGCTCCCTAGCCCCTTCGGCCATGTGAGAACACAGTGAAAAGACAGCTGGCCATCTGGGAACCAGGAAGCAGGCCCGCTGCAGACACCAAATCTGCCTATGCCTTGATCTTGAACTTCCTAGCCTCCAGAACTGTAAAAAATAAACATCTGTTGTTTAAACCTCCCAGTCTGTTATTTTATTGTAACAGCGCTAAGAGACTAAGACACTTGCCCTTTACAAGGTGAAGGTGGCAGACTAGAGCTGATGCCAGGGATCCTCCCGCTCCCTGGTAGCCATAGAGTAGCTTGGAAATAATACACAAATTGTACTTCAAAAGCCAAGGTACACTGGCAGAGCTCAAAAGCAAGAAAGGGAGAACATTCAGCAAATAGAAGCAAGGGGTCACAGCTAAACATAACAAAAGACTGTTGAATCCAGAGCAATCAGCAGTAATGAACTATTTGGGTTAGTCCCACATCTGGAGGCAAAGGTTCAAGAAGAACCCAGAAAGACATTCTAAGTCAGAAGGAAGTGTATTTGGGACACGCTGGAGGCCAAACAGGGCAGAGAGCAAGGACCAGATTTTGCCTGGAACAGAATCAAAACGGACGGTGAGCTGGGCAGGAATGAACTATTTGGGTTAGTCCCACATCTGGAGGCAAAGGTTCAAGAAGAACCCAGAAAGACATTCTAAGTCAGAAGGAAGTGTATTTGGGACACGCTGGAGGCCAAACAGGGCAGAGAGCAAGGACCAGATTTTGCCTGGAACAGAATCAAAACGGACGGAAGTCTGGAGTGGAGGAGAGAAAGGATTAAGGAAGGTGACAGGATGCAGGGAAAGGAAAGGAAGTACAGGAACTGGCAGGAGGGACCTACTGGCACTGCCTGGCTCACCTTGCAGGTGGCATGGTTGAGCATCTCCTGCCACGTGGGGTCCAGCCGGTTCTTGTCAGCCATGACGCCCTGCTCAGCCACAAACACCATCTCCCGGGCAGCGTTGTGCATGCTCACAGCCCGCTCATACCGCAGTGCTGCCTTCTGTGTCTCCTGCTGGGCCTGGGGGGAAAGGACCATCAGGATAGGGAGCCTCAAAGGACCCCTGGCTGCCCATGGAGACCCGCCCTGGGCAAGGACAAGAGAAGGAGGAAGGCCCACTGCAATGTTGGCTTCACTTCCCAAACTGCACTAAGAATAAATGCTGAGGAAGTAAAATTCTATGAAGAATATGTTGCAAGGATATAGCTCAGAGAAGAAATGTATGTAGAAAAAGAAGGATACTGCCAGTGGAGGGTGAGTGTGTAAAATCCAGCACTCTCGAAGGCTGCTGGCCTTTTGCCCTAGGGAGAACAAAGAAAAACCCACAACCTTTAGTTGGAAGGTGGTTAGTTGATGGTTGAGACCATCAACTCCAGTCCAGCAGGTAAACTGAATGAAATAACCAGACAAGTAAGTGCTTGGAGATATCATCACAACCATATTTACCAAACAAAAAACTGGAAACAAACCTAAGTTTTCAGTTACAGAGAACTGGTTAAACGAATAATAGTACATCTAATATAAAGAAATATTAAGAAGCCCTTAAAAATAATGGCAAGTATGGGTATTTCTTGACATGGAACCATGTCCTAATATAATAAAGGAATAAAAATTGTATATATGTGATCCCATATTGGCAGGATATATACAAAAAAAAATTTAAGGAATTATTTGTGCTATATTAATCACGTTTTTTATTTTCTATGTTTTATGATGCTTTGATATCTTGGAGGCCTTGCTGGCTCTCCTAGGGCTGGCTAATTCCTAGAGATACTCCTAGGAATGTGAGCACCCTTTTCATATGCAAATCAACCAATCCAAAGCCCATCTATCACACAGCAAGCCAGTATTTCCCCTGCCCTAAATCACTGAAGGGCCAGGACCAGAAAACTAGAGACCACCCCTATAGCCCAGAACCTGCCTCAATTATTCAAACTAGCCAATCTTAAATTGGCTCAGTTGCCTACCCTGCCCTACCCATTCCTTCCCATGAAAACCACAATAAAGGCTCTACAATAAAAGCTCTAAGCCAAGCTTTCCCCTCACATTTTCTGCCTCCTCACCCACTCAGGTACTTCCCCATGTAGCCCTGCATGATGTGGCAGGTCCTTTTCTCTTAGGAACTGTTAAGTCATAAATTCTTCTTTGAAGGCAGCTGTCTCTGTGTCTGTCACCTTACCATACTTGACTAACCAAATCCCAGGTACAAAAATCATGAAACATGCACGTGGTTGGATATGGGGAAATATTGGTTTTCTTCTCCTACCTTGTTTTATAGTTACAGGTTACAATTACAGCCTTCCAATAGTGAGCCCACATTATTTGTGCAAAGAAAAATTTAAAAAGAAGGAAATGGGTAAAGGAGTGGAGGAGCAAACAAAGAAAAGAGAGACATGAACCAAGGAGAACAGAAGAGGAAAAGAATGGTGATCTATCTCACACCCCATACAGAGATAGAAGAGTACGGGGCCAGGCTCTGCATGCGGCCCCTACCTCAGAATGTGGGTCATACCTCCTTAGCCAGCCGCCGAGCTTCATAGTAGGGCCGGGCCTTCTCGATGCAGCTCCCCAAGTGGGAGCCCTGCGTGTTGAGCTTCCTTGCTGACTCCTGCAGGATCCTCCGGTAGGTGGTCCTGGCCTCCTGGCAAAAGGATAGGGACATGGGCAGAGGGAGGCATGCGTGTGGGTCCCAGCCCCTCTTGTTTTCCATACATGCCTCTTCCCCTGCCACTGTACTGAAAGAGGAGGGAAAATGATGAAAACACCTTTGGAAACAGCCCAGGAGTGTGAGGAAAAGGAGCAACACTCACATCCAGCTGCAGCTCCACCTGGTTGATCTCCTCGCTGGCCTGGTTCAGATGCTCCAGCTCCTCCTGCCAGAGAGGGGCAGAAAGTTAGAGCAGTGGAAGTAAGCAGCCTCACATGAACCAGGCAGGGCAGGAGCACAGTACACAGAGGGAAAGCCCAGCCAACCAGGGAAGTGAAGAAATGCAGCAGGAGGTCATTGTCAAATGCCTCCTGTCAAAGACAGAATAATATATAGCCTCCTGTAATCCTCACAATTCCACCTCTAAACCCCCATTTTAAAGATGAGAAAATTGAGGTTCAGAGTATGGAAAACTCCTATGCACACAGCAACGTGGCAACAAGCCTGTGCTCTCTCCATCAGACTGCACCACCTCCTCCTCGTACTCCAGCCAGGAGGAGTCTCCTTCAGAGCTAATGGTCTCTGTCCCAGTGAGGACAAACCCGCTGGGCCACTCACTCAGCGTACTTTTACTACACACTTATCACAGTTCAGCACCATGAGACCTGAGGATTCAGAACACAAAGAGGTGGCAGCTCCGGCCCAATAAGTAAGCAACAGGCCCTCAGTGGTGTGAGGAGCCACGTGAGGGGTGTGCATGGTAGGGGCTGGGAATCAAAAGGAGAGCAGGTGCCCAGGGCAGGCAGATTATTGGGTGAGAAGCCAGAGAGGCTGTGGCACAGGGACAGGATACTAGGGCTTCTCCCAATGGCAGGGGGAACACCTCAGAGACTAATGCCACCTGGTGGTTTAGGAAGGCAGAGATGGGCAATGTAGGG